TTCGGGCCAAATCCACCTGTCACGTCGTGAACTCCCCACTCCAGGTCAGGACCCCTGACTCGGGGAGTGGGGGGCAATTGATGGAGGGTGATTTGACCCGGTCTCATCATAAGAGGACACGTGGACATGACTCAGCATAAGTGGCAACTCAGCGCGATCAGTCTACCAAAATCTGGCGTGGCAGCTCGGTAACAGATGACACCCCGATTACCCTGAGCTAAGATTCCTCCAAGGAAGCGCCCCGAGCTAAGATATTCCCAAGACAGGAATCTCCTGAGCTCAAAGGCACTTCTAGTTGAGCTCGAGAGCCTCCTAAGTTAGAATAAATTTACTCCTACCCAAACCTAAGTAGGCCACCTCGGGTAGAAGCACCTCGATACGGCACCTGCAGCTCGGCACAGGGTAGCTCGGTACAAGGCAGCTCACGGAAGAGCAGCTCAGCGTATCACTGGAAGATCTCCTGTCTGACAACCGTACCTGTCAAATCTGAAGACTACACCCATGTCTCTCGCCAGGCGGCGTCGTGCCTGCCAACCCTGAGAGGTGTCCCCCGCTTGGCAGGGCCGTACTCTGCAACAGTTACTTGCGCAGCCCTGGCAAGTAACGGCTACGACAGAGAACCAAAGGCGGTTATGCCTGATTTGACAGGACACCGCTATATAAGAGCTCCGACCCCCAAAGAGCAAAGGTATTGCAACTTGCGTGATCTACACTCTAGCCCTTTTATTTTCTCTGCAACTCTCTCTTTCAGCTCTCACCTTTCTCTCTCAGTTACTAACTTAAGCATCGGAGTGTTCCCGCCGGGTGAGCTCCCCGGGATCCCTTCATCTTCTTCTTCACAGGTGCTTTGTCTGCCACCAGTTAGGAGCACAACCACTTCCAGCTAGGAGTGACCAGGTCGTGCATCATCAATAATATACCGTAGGGGCTATATATTATCATGCATCCAAATAAATCAAAACATATGATATATCACATATAGCATATATTTATATATAACATTTATCATATATCCATATAATCAGATTGCTCAAAGGATTAACCCTAACTCAATCCGAAATAAAATTGAGTTAATAAATTTCAATCATAATCCTAACCCGAACATCAACCCGAATTTGAATTGGATTCGGACCAATCGGACCCAAATTGCAGCCTTATGCTCAAAAGGTCAAAAGAAAAAAAGTGAGCAGGTTTGTCTCCACTGCTACTGACACGTGTAAATTCTTAACTAGTGTTTATTACTCATCAACTAAAGTCCAAAAACCTTATCTTTATCTTTTGTCCGGATGCGTAAAAGTCACTCAAGTGCAGACGAATTTCATGAACCCCAAGTATCTGCTATTAATTTACGATACTACCCACATTAAAACTCTCTCTCTCTCTTTCTCTCATACGACTCGACTGGATGGATGATAGATCCAAATACTCGAATCGGGATTTGCTACTGACGTAGCGCTCCTCACAGTCTCATCTCACCGTGTAATAATAACATCTCGGCATGAATAACAACAGGGAAGATATGCCCGATGTACGGATGATACGAGTTGTGAGTTTGATATTTGGAGCGCTTGTGAAGAAAAGAATTGGGATCTATTCCTAACAAAATGCTTCTCTCGCCAACCTCAGCCACATTCCATCATATGTTGACATATTGTAAATATTTCCTATGAAAAATAATATATATGGGATGGGACTATGAGTAAACCTCTTTTATTTATAGGAAAAATTGCTGAAACCTTCTCTCAAGTTTTTGATATTATGAAACCCTCTGTTAAAGTTTAGAAATTATAATCACATCCCTTAAACTTTCTTATAAGTTGTGGTAGATTTTCTTTAGAATTCTCTAACAAGAGATACAAAATTGTTTAAAATACTCATATAATTATTTTGACCAAAATGGTCGATATCCCAAACAAACAACTTCTTCCAATATCTTTTTTGAAATTGTTTTATTTTTCAAATTTACCTTTTGTATCAATTGCTCAAAGGTGAAGTTACAACTTTAAACTCTTTTTTTTTTCATAAAATTTATATTATTTTTCCTGTAAACCATCCCCCAACCTAGGTGCAGGTGGGATTTGATCCCAAGCCTCCACTACAACAAGCAAGAGACGTTACCAACCAGCTGGTTGGCACCTTATTTGTCTTTTCAATTTAAAGAAGATTAATTATACTTACTATTTTACCCCATACATCTGTTTACGTGTTATATGCATGAAGCTTAAGCCCACCCCAACTATCTAATTCGTTTTAGTTTTCAAACATTTTGTAGAGCAATATGATCAATATCCATCCTATTATGGTACCGAAAAAACATGGTACTGAAAGAGTTTTGATCAATCAAAGCATCCCGTGAATTTTGATGAATACCATCTGATTGGTAACTCCCTTTATGATACTAGTTGATTGACTGTAAGTTTTTCTGATATCATAATTGAACTTAAATTCGTCAATTTTAAAATGTCATTGATTTGTGGGATGGTCAAATTGTTTGACATGAAAATTGGTCATTTATTAGGTTTTATTTTTTACCTAGCTTAGCTCCCTATCCCCCAAAGTTGACTTAGTCAATAAACTGTTGACCCAATTGATTGAATTTACAGTTCGAGCCAAGTAATTGTTCAAGGTTTAAATTTATTTTTTAAAAACTAAAATAATAAAAAAGGTACAAAGATGGGTTTATTAATGGAATAAAATGCAATTATTGTTTGATGTAATCCATTATGATACTATTCAATTATATTTTCGTATTTAAATTATTTACAATTAAGTCGGATTTAGAATTTACATAATTTTTTTCATTTAAAAAATATAATTTTTTATTTTAGAATTTTATAAATTTATATTTGAATTCGACTATGATAATGAAAAGATATGATACCATAAAAAACTTATAACCAATGAACCTTCATCACAAAAGTATTAGGTTGCGTTTGGATGGGGTGTAAAATCCGGTTCAGTGTATTTTTACATTACGGTCCAATTTTGTTGCCATTTAGATGGGGTGTAAAAATATACCGAAAATCGATGTAAAAGTGATTTTTGGTTTTGTTTTACTTCGATTGTCGATGTATTTTATACATTGGTTTTTTTTTATGTAAAAATCCATCAAAGTAAACAAGGTGTAAAGCCAACGGCTTTTCGTCTTCGTCTCCTCTAATTGTCTCTTTCTCACCGTCGAGCACTTCGCAAGCCCTCTCACTGCTATTCTACTGGTTGGGCTAGGTGAATTTCCTGCTCATGTACTCCACACCTCTGTGTTCGAACCCGATCAAAGGAGGGTCTCGAGGAGCAAAAACAGCGTGGTTGTGTAAGGGACAAAGGCTCATCTCGATGCCCCGGCAAGCTTGTCCCCATGCAACCTAGAAGTTACTGGTGGAATGGCCGTCGACAACCAGGTGCTGTAAACCCTACCACCAACGACCCACAAGTGAACCTTGTGAGTTGAATTTGCAGGAAGGCTTTTGTCTCCTTGAAACTGGGGTGGAGGCTTAGCAAAGCTAGCGATGGCTTGAAGGGCATGGTCTTGCTGAGCGTGTAGTCAGCCGATGCTTCCACAAAATTGACGCCATGGTCGTTGAGCAAAATGAGAGGGTCACCCTTGTCATCTGCTCCCAATCTGCCAGCCCACTCTCTGTACTCTGTTAGGGCCTTATCGAGGCCTTGCTCTATGGTCGCATTTGAAGGGGTTGGTGGTCGGTATGCATAGGTTACAGCTATGTGGGTGTTGTAGGTGACCTTATCGAAGACGCTTAGAGGAATGCAGGAGGAATATCTCCTTTGTAGTTTGGCTTTACAATCTTAGAGCTTGGGTTTGATAACACGTGCTTGGGTCACCTACATGTGCTTGGGTTTGATAAAATGTGCTTGTTACAGTGGAAGAATAATCTTCCACTATCGAAGATGCTCAGTGGAAGACGCATTACAGCTAAAACTAACACTGTTTCAAGAGGGTTGTATGGAGTTTACAAGCTTTGTGGATTGATCGAGTTTGACAAATTGGATTAGACCTTAGACGTGTTTATATACTAACACTCCGACACCACCAACCACACGGTCTGTGACGAATTTGTCACAGAAAGTAAGGGAGGAAGCTCCAAGAAAACAACAATAGAAATAAATATATAATTATCTCTTTGTTATTATAGTCTTGGCAATGTTATTTGTCATCGATACGTGGGTGTAGTTTTACACCATTGTTCATCTAAATGCAGACAAAAAATATGCTGATGTTTTGTACTATTCTTTCAAACATACAACAGTATAAAAGCTGCATCTATCCGGTTCATTCTTTACGCTTACATGTTGGATCATTCTTCTTTTACACCGATGGAGTTTTGCTTTTACATTTTAAACAAACACAACCTTAATTAAAATTAGATGGATTTTTATCAAATTTACATTCGTAAGGGTTTGTGATTTTTTTTTTGTGTACAAGGTGATTGTGATTGGTTAAAGCCTTCTATTATCATGTCTTTCCCACATCATATACTTTCCCATTTTATAATCTAATATAAATCCGATGGATAAAAACTGTTCCGAATTCGAATATAAACCAATTAAACTTAGATCTATCTATATCCGATCCGATTCGATGCTAAAAGGCTGTCGAAGGATATTTTTGTCAAAACGGCTGATTGCCTGTTTAGTTGTCTACACACAAGTGGAATTCGCATATACGCCACACCTTACAGCACATCTCAATCGTGTATTGAGAATATCCCCCGGGAGATGTTCCTTCTCAGTGGAGCGCAAATGTGAACTCATAAAAGTGAAAAGAAAATCGTGCGAGGGCGTTTTGGTTATTTCAGGGAATCATATCCTCAACGTCAAGTGGGTGAGCTTCGTACACTTCCATTCGATTTGTGACAGGTGTTTAAATAGTATGTGGTCTGATGTCATTGTGACACTTGTCCCGGTCGAATGCAAATGCACGATAAATGCAGCAGATTCGTGACTTGAAAACCATTTGCTACACTCCCAAGCTACATGCACTCCTTTTTGGATCCTTTACCCTTGGCTGAACCGTCTTTCTCCCTTCTTTAAATGCAACTGTGAGTCATTTCAGATCCGCCATTCCTGTACAAAGCTCGGAAGCGGAGCTTTCATGGCATTCTGAGAATCAGAGCTTGGGGGTATAGATCGTGTTAGCCGATCGATGTATCGTCGTTACAGTAACATCTAGATCCAACTTGTTTTAATTTACAGACGTTCTGATATTTTTTCGGTCGTTTCTACTCTGTTATCCGGTAAAGTTATGAAGGTTTCATCTGCTTTTGCCATCATCTACTGGGGTTTCTGGTTCTTCACATGTAAGTCTGTTCCCAAGAATTTCCCTTTTGTTTGCTGATGGTGTCGCCTTTAGATTTTCTTCGGTATCGGTTTATGAGGTATTTTTCTGTTTATGCAGATTTCGATGAAGTTTTGTTCTTGATCGGTGCTTTTAAGCTCCATCTGGAGAAGATATAGCTCGATCTGGACCGGTTCGGTCGTTCAGATTTAGTTCTGTGGCTTAATAGTGGGATCAAGATCTGTTTCAGCCCTTCAGGTGTGACAGGACAGCCGATGAGAATAATATCCATCATCTGTTGGAGCTATCTGCCATTTGAAACTTAAATAGAACATTTTTCGTGGTTTAATATCAATTTCAGGTTCTATCATCTCGCCTTACCATCTATGCAGTAATAGACGAGATTTGCTACAGAGCTATCAGAAGCTAAGTGCACGGAAGGTGACCTAGCTTGTGAAAGAAAACATAATCTAGTCGTCTGACATTTGTTATACTTCGATATGGAGACGCTTGTTGTTGTGGCTCAACATCGGAATCAATATTACAGCAGAAGTAAGCATGGTCTCCCTGGTAGATTCGTTTCTTCTCCGTCTAGAGGGTTCAGGGAAATCAATTGCAGAACTTTTCAATCTGGGGCAGGTATCTCGCCAAACCTTTTGAAGTCCTACAATGGCTCTTCTGCAATTAGAAGGACTAGTTCTTCCCCTCCAACGCCTCCATCCCTTGGTCCCCGTTTTGAAGAGGAGAAACAATTGAAGAGTAGAGGAAAAAGCAGCGCAATTCCTATAAATCTCAATGCTTCCAACAAAGATACGCCTTTCAATGATGGCCTTTCCTACTCTGAGCTCTGGGCTGGACCTGCGTATTCAAACTCACCTCCCCCGAGTTCTTTGCCAATCCCTAAATTTAGCCTTCGACAGAAGCGAAGTGTGTCCCTTGATCTACCTTCCTCAGGTTCGAGGATTCCCATGCACCCCATTGCTAAATCAGCTCCGCCTTCACCCACAAGGGAGCCGTATCCCCCTCGAAGGGATTTCTTTCTCAACACTGACTTTGCAGCTAACCCCTCTCCAAGAGATTTCTTTCTCAATATTGACTCTGCAACCAAAGATCTGCGTCGTATGCTCCATCTTGATGTTGATGATGAACGAGAACGTGGAGGCCCCTCAGTTCTGTAAATAAGTCTCCTGTTCAACCTGGACTATGGGTAGCTTGTATATAAGTAGTGAGTAATTTGGTCCGTAGTCTTAGCTTTCGCATCCTTGTAGCTTTCTTTATGGGTGGTACAAAGGGAACAGCGATGATTGACGTCATACAGCAACATTCAGACTCTACCGGAAGCATTCGAGCTCCTTATATGGACTTGGGTTTCAATTATGAACAGTAAGAAATTCATAACATGGGTTTTCTGACGGATGGCTGCTACTTGGGTTCCGGGAAGGATAAGAGAGTTGATGCTTAAGAATGTCTGCTCTTTGATATGCTCACTGAATCATTGTCCTTCTCCTTCAGTGTTACTCTTGCTTCTCGATGGTGAATGATGGAAACTACCTTTTGAGTGGTCAGCAAAGCTATGATATGGTCATAGAGATTAAACTTTCTCTCAGAACCATGTGTTTTAACAAGTTTCTCTGTTGAGTTAGTTACCCTTTCTTCCAGAATCATGGGTTTTCATAAGGTTTCTTTCTTCTGTTAGGTTAGGCATCTCTAGTTTCATATTGCCTGTAAATAGCTAAATTCTTTAGGGTCTTTGCTTCTGGTTAGCTTAATCAGTCAGGTTCTATATCATGCTTCTATCTCCGTGGCGTCTCTATTCCCCATAATTCCTGAACCCTGTACTCCTTCAATTCTGCTTAATCCATTTCTCTTATGATACCTTTCTGATGCGTTCTGCGTAATCTCCTCCTTTTACTTATTAGTCCCATGTTGCCTGAAGTGGATGGTTAGTTGGTAGGCTCTGTTTTCTGTTGATTTCTTTTCCTAAACTTATATCCGACAGTTCTTCAGTTGGCCTATTTACTGGCTGATCTGATTAGACGTAAACTTGCACTGTTTTCTGTTTGGTCTCTTACTCTTTACTTTGCCCAACTTTGCCTGAATTGGCTGGGTAGATGGTGGCTGGTAGGTTCGTACTGCTTAGATGCTACAGTTGTCTTCTTTTCATCTTTACCCCATTCCTCATCCTTTCAATCTCTGTTTCCTTTCTGAACTCCAAAAGGGTGTTCGTTTTCCCTGTTCCTCCTTTTCAGGTTTTTTTTGATGGAAAAGGTAGGAAGGGGAATGGAAAGGAATACAGTTTATTACTTCTTTTATCCACCTCTTCTTCATTCAGCGTGTAGGGTTCTCTGTATCCTGTTGTGCCGTTCTTCTGTAAGCCATCTTAGGTGTTTATTTCTGTTAGTAGTTTCTGCTAGTGACACCGATTCTCTCTTAATACTTTACTTGAAAGGCATGTCAGTCTGGAGATAACCATGTGATCGTGTAACGCCATATACAAGGTATGCTACTCTCTATTTGATTCTCTACTTTCTTTAATGGTGGTCTATTTTGAAATTACAGTCCTAATTGTTATTAATGTAGTTTTCTTTTGTTTATTGTGCTCGCAACAGGGTGGACCCCCAGGGTGCCGATGGAAGAATAGTCTTTACCTTGACACAGTTTGGCGGAGATGGTCTTTGCGAGAGAGAGAGAGAGAGAGAGGTAAAAGCAGTTTTGCCCAAGCGCGGCGTTTATTCTCAAGTAATAAGAATGTAGTGTATGTACTCCTTTTGAGATGGCGGGGTATGCTGATTGTGGAGAATCAGATAATGTTAGTTGTTAATATTAGGGTTGCTATTAGTATTATTAGTATTGGAGTATCAGTTTGTTTACTTTTCATGCACAACTGCTTTTAATTAATTATGTTTTATAGTATGTTTATCTGTCATTTCTGTCCGTCGAGGCCGGCCGGCGGCCACTTGTTGCCATTTCTTGGGCGACAGCCAGGTTATTGATGTTACTCATCATTTCTACTGATAAATAAAAATGGGATTTTACTTCTCATTTCGCAATTTCTATTTTCTAATGCCTTTTCTATTAAACGTCGAGGGAATACGGAATAGGGATTGCCAATGCCGGCCAAATGGTTGGTGAGAATTACAAAAATTCTTGCGACACTAGCAGCCTCGTGTAAATTTGGCCGCTGGGGAGTGGGGACTGGTTGAATGGAACTTTTTTAGACTGAGCATTCATTTGGGAAGTATGCCATCATAGAGGTGTAAATCGGGCCCGGCACGGCCTGCACGAAATTGGATCAGCCCGACCCGGCATGGCACCAAGGCCCACGAGCTGTGTCAGGCCCGGCATGAAGGTCCGTGTCATGCTGGGCCGGGTTCAAGGTCTACAGGCCGCCATGGCACAACATGATTGTTTGTGCAGTGTCGCTCGTGGCCCACGTGTCGGCACGGCCTAGCTTGTGGCATGGCCCGTCATGGGTCAGCATGGCATGACCTGTGGGGCCCGTAGTGGGTCGTGTTTAGCCCACTTGGAATATAGCCGTTGGGCCCTCCCCAAGGGCCCCAATGGCTAGTTTCAGCTTTTTGGGTTTTTTTTTTTATAGAAATACCCCCCAACATTTATAAATAGCCATATTTGGGGGGTATTTGTGTATTTTGCTTATGGGGGGTTGAAAAAGTGACATAACTGCCCCTTAACTAACTAGTTTAGGGGAGCTTTTTGGGTAAAGATGTAAATAACTTTATAATAACCAAAATACTCCTAAATAATAGCTAGTTTTTTGGGTAATTGAATTATGTACAGTTCCTATAAATAGCCCTATCCTCTACTATTTTTATCACACTAATTCAACAATTCTCTTAATCTCCTCTCTCTCTCTCTTTCATATTCATACATTCTCAATTCTCTACAATCTGAGTAATTCTGATCAGCTGATTGTCTGATTCTACATTCTCCAATTCTCAAGTCTCAACTTTATTGAAGTTTCAACTTTTAACAAGAAGACTTGTTCAACCAGCTCAAGTATCACAATTTGGAAGGCTTGGATGTTGAAAGGGTTCAACCGTTGAAATCAAGTTTTTGAACCAACAATCCGGATAAGTTGAATTAGATTAATTTTTATCTTTTTAGAATTAAAAAAAAACTGATTGTTTCTTCTGAAAACTGATTCCTCAACATATTAACCATTGATATTCAATCGCATCATGATAGTGTTAGCACTGATGCGATTAATGTCGATGGAAGTGGAACTCACTCTCGGTACTGATACTAGGGAAAAAAGATGGCCTCTTAAGTTGAGTAGCCTGGTTTAAAAAATTTTAAAAGTAGAGGATATTGAGGGGAAGGGAAAAAGGGCCGTTTACAAAAAATGTAAGAAGGACTTTAGTTTATTGTAGCAAGGGTGGTAGAGGTCATTTGAGCAGACATCTGCTCACACATGAGAAAGAAGATGAAGGGAGAGAAACAACTCAAACACAAATTTGGAGGGGGAGTAGTTTTGGTACTTTTAAATATTTACAAGAAAAAATGAGACAAAAACTTGTTAAGTGTATTGACATTCAAAACAACCATTTATATTAACTGAAGACCCAAAACTTGAAAAATAGTTGCGTAATTCTGTAAACCCACAATATAAAAAAGCTTATAGGAATACTATTAGGTTGGATGCTTTAAAATTTTTTTATTCATATAAACAAAATTTAATTTCTTTGTTAACAAATCTTAATTCTAAAGTTGCAATTACTTCGGATGTTTGGACATCCAAATTTAATATAAGTTATATTTGTGTTACCAGCCATTTCATTGATGAAAATTGGCTTTTGAATAAAAGAATTTTAAGTTTTACTAGAGTTGAATGGCCATATACCGGCCTAGCTATTGCTGCAAGTATTTTAAATATTTGCATGCTTATGGAATAAATATTTTAGTTTTGATAATGCCAGTAATAATGATTCTGTAATAAATATTTTAAAATCTCAATTAAGACCATGCTTAAACGATAAATTATTTCATATTAGATGTGCATGTCACATCTTAAATTTATGTATTCAAGACGCCTTGAATATTATTTCTACTCATATTTCAAAAATTAGAAATTGTATTATATATATAAAATGTTCAGGGGCAAGAAAATAAAAATTTAAATATTTATGTCAAAATTATGGTTTAAAATATAAACATTTTATATTAGATGTAAAGCATAGGTGGAATTCTACCTATGCTATGTTAGAAAGTTGTATTTCTCATAAATAAATTCTTACTGATTTTTATAATTCAAAAATGCCTAATGATATGATATTTGAGGAAGACTAGGAAATGACAGTCTGTATAAGAGATTTTTTAAAACATTTTTATGATGCGACTAATGAATTACCTGGAATTTATTATCCAATTAGTTATAATTTACCTTATCAATTAATGATGATTAGTGATTATTTTGCAAAATATAGGAATAATCCACAATTTCAATGTATTGTTAAAATAATGAAAAATAAATTTAAAAAATATTAGAACATTTCTCCCCTTTATTGTTTAGCTACAATATTAGACCCTAGGATTAGGAAAGATGGTTTAGATATTTTACTTCAATTATATTGTGAAAATATGAATATTGATATAGGAAATAAAAAACAAGAAATTAATAATTTATTATTTGAAATGTACAGTTTGTATGAATCTGAAACAACTTGTATAGCATCTTCCACTTCTGACCTTGAGCCCATTAGTAGAAGAGAAAAACTTTTTTATTTAATAAGTAGAAGGCAGAAATCTGCTACTTTTAGAATAAGTTCATTTACTGAACTTAATTTTTATTTACAAGCAAATTTTTCTAATTTAGGTGAAGGATAAAATAATTTTGATATTTTAGCCTGGTGGAGTGAACATTCGAAAAATTATCAAATTCTCGCCGCCATGGCACGTGATCTACTAACCTCTCCGATGTCTACAGTTCCATCGGAGTCTTGTTTTAGTGCAGGTACCAAGGTGTTGGATGACAAAAGAAGTTGCATGAACGATGAAAACATAAATATGTGCATCTACTTCAAAGATTGGCTAGATGCAAAAGATAGATTACAAGACAAAGGAGGGCATGATACTACGTCAGATATTTCACCCGAAACAGATAAGGAAAGTCATGAATCATGATTCATGAATTTGACTACTTGTATAGAATTTTTTATTTTTTTAATTTTATTTAATTTATTTTTTTATTTTTTAACAATGTAATTTTGTATTTTAAATTTATAACTAGATTGTATTTTTTATATTTTATTAATTTATTCCATTTTCATATTTCATTCATCCAAGTATCCAATGATCCAATCATTGTATTTTTAATTTGTACCATTCAAATTTAAATGAAATAAAATTCCTATTTTTCTCCGATTCGTTATTCCATCATTCTTATTTCAATTTGGTTAAGTATTTTTTTTTTCATTTATGTGTTAGATAACTTAGATTTCTCATTTCTTAATTTTTTAAATAGTTTCCAATTCCCAAAGTTCAAAGGAAAGTTAAATATTTTAGTTTTACAATTTTACTTAAAAAATAAATCAAAATTTTCAAAAAATAAACAAAAAAATAAAAAAATAGTGCAGCCGGTTCTGCCCAAACCCAAGGTCTGCCCTGTGGCCCAACCCGGCATGACCTGCAACCCGGCCCGGCCCAGGCCCATAGCACAACACGGCATAGGCCCACACGGGCCTAGGCTGTGGGCCGTGCCAAGCCGACCCCCAAAATTTCCACCGGGGAGGGCGGCACGGCCTATTTTACACCTCTATGCCATCATATTTAATTTAGGCTGTGTTTGATTTAAAGGAAGGAAAAGGTAGAAAACCTTTACAAACATTGTATAGGGAAAACCTCTCTAATCCATCGTGCTTTTTATCGAGTGTGGAGTGGATTGGCTGAATGCCTGAATGGGAACGCGTCGTGCTGTTGAGCCTAGAGAGGGTTGTGTACCTCCTCTTCCCTGCCCCAACGGCCTAACCCCTCTTCCACTTTATTTTTCTTCCGCCTCTCATCTTTCATTCTCCTTGCCGGCTACTGCCAACCACCACACCGGCGGCCCTTTTTTCTCTCTTCCTCTCTCCAAATCCAATTTGCATGTAACGTTCAATTCATTTCTTATATAAATCCTGTTTGACAATACCATGAGGTTTGGGGTGGTTTGCCATGTACGTTTCCACGAAGAAAAGTTAACACAAATATTTAAAAGAGTAAATTACAAAGACACCCCCGGTTAGTGGTGGCAATTGGGTGGATTGGGTTGGGTTGGGTTTGGTTTGGTTTGGGTTGAGCTTCAATCCAACCCATTTAACCCGTCAATCCATTAATGACCCAGTTATATAAAATTAAATGAATTGGGTTCAACTCAAACCCGCTTTAACCCAATCCAATATGCCCAAACCCATTAATCTTATATTTATGGACTTAAAAAGTAAACTAACTCTCTCTTAACAAATAAGTTGGTCACAACTTGGTGGTAATTATAGTTATTGTTTACACAAGTGGTGGAGGCTCAAATCACATTACATGCATGTTATTTTTACACAAGCGGAGCCATTTGACTATGTTCGGATTTTTGGTTTGATCAAACCACTTAGGTTCAAACCAGTTAGACCAACTTGAACTATCTAATTGGATTATCATCGAGTTAATCACATAAAGGGTGGTTGAACCGTTTAGATCTAGATCAATCCGGTCAGACCGAACCAGACCGATTCAGTCAATGTTGGATTGACTTGGACCGGACCATATTAGGTTTGTACACGGGTTTGGAACCAAACTAACTGACCCAAAGTGGGTTAACGTAAGTAAATCGATTCGGGTTGTGTGAATGTTGGTTGGACGGACGGTACAGACCAGGCAAAGCATGCAGACACCGAATCATCCCGCCTGAAACCGTTTCGGATTTGGGTCAGCTTAGATCGGGTTGTGTGAATACTGGTTGAACCGAACGACCCAAACCGGGTAGAGCAAGCGGGGTCTATTTCGGATGCGGGTCGACCCAGATCGATATATGTTGGATCGGGTTAGATCGCGTTGAACTGG